TTTTTAAGGATATTTGTTCGTCTCGCCCGTATAAAATTTCTAACCCACCTGTGTAGTCCTAAGTAAAGGCCTTGAACTGAACCTCATTGCCGTCCCTCCATCTCCTTGGGGGAGGACTTTCATTTGTCGTTCGTTTGGGGTGAGAAAGAAATAAAGAATGGAGGCGACGAAGAAGACAGAAGAAGAGGGAAATGAAAACGCAGAAAAAGTAGTAGAAGAAGAAGAATTCTCGGCATCGGAGATCGAGTACGTGAGCTATGGCGGAGAACACCACTTGCCCCTTATCATGGGACTCGTCGATTCCGAACTCAGCGAGCCCTACTCCATCTTCACTTACCGTTACTTCGTCTATTTATGGCCTCAGCTCTCTTTCTTGGTACTCTTTTCCCCCTTTTCATTTCTAGGGTTTTATCTAATTTACTTTCGATTAACAAAAGATATATATATATATATATATGTATGATTGGGCAGGCGTTTCATAGAGGGAAATGTGTGGGAACAGTGGTGTGCAAAATGGGAGAGCATAGAAACACGTTTAGAGGCTACATTGCCATGCTGGTTGTGATCAAGCCCTATAGAGGAAAAGGCATTGGTATTAATTTTATTATCTTAATTTTTTTTATTTTACGATTTTATTTGGTATTCGTCGAGAACCCAACTTGAAATATATAGAAAAAAAAGGTGTGAAACTTAAATGTTATATATTTAGGTTTATAGTCGTTACTAAAAGATTGTGCTTTTACTACTAGTCTTGGGAATTTAATATGATACATTACAAATGTTTGGAGAAATGCTTGTTTCTTATAAAGTCTGTAATGATACTTACACATGTTTTGTATGTCTAAACAAAAATTTGCTCAGATATGCTTGTTTGTGCTGTTAAAATTTGTTAGTTTTAATGTAGACAAAGGATGTTCATTCCCTATATCTGTATTGAAATACTGATCGTATCAACCTTTTTTTTTTTTTTTTTTTCCTTTTCAAAAACTTAATTGTGATTTTTTTTCCCTTGTATTTCACCGAATTTTGCTTCGGTAAATTACGTGAACATGTAAAATTTGCCTTGACGGCTTTCTTTTTATTTTTGGATTTGTAGCTACAGAGCTTGTAACCAGATCTATTCAAGTGATGATGGAATCAGGTTGTGAAGAGGTATGTTAGCATGTTTATGGTCTTTCCACTTATTACATTAGTAATTTTATGGAAACGAACAAAGGATAGTTGGCGCAAATTAGATCCAATACCACTTATAAAGCCTTGTTTTTTATCCATACCACTTTTATTAGTGTAAGGAAATATGAATTTACTGAAACAATAGTTGACTCTTTTTATTTCTGCTGTTTTCTTCTAACCTTTATTCTTTGCCAATTTATTCTTCTTATTAGCCCTATACTTTGTCTTGGTTCTGAACCCTTCATCTAGAAAGAAATTTTCCATTGTTTCCCAAGTCTCTCTTGGAATGTACACCATACCACGTTTCCCCCCCTCCTTTCGTATCTTCCCTTTTCAATCTAGAAAACTTGTTCTGCAATCACATTCTTAGTGAACGACTGTTTTTATTATACATGTCATATGTTGAAACAATTGGTCAAGCTATTATTGGCTGGCTACCATGAGTTTTACATTCAGTGACCATCGGAACTTATTGGCGTATCCGGGATACAATGTGGATTCCTGGTTAACAGATTCTTCTAATAGTGCTGACGTCTAGTCAAATTCTTTAGTATTAGAAGGTTTCCTTTTCTATCTTCATATATTACACTTTTTCTGTACATGAACATAGCTATGTTGTTCCATTTCCCTTTGCTCACCTTCTGCATTACAGCCAATAAACCTTTATTTTTGAGTCTATTCATGACCATTCGATTGGTTTTGAAGTTTTGAATCAATCATTTCATACTAGTGCTTTATGTTTGTCTTATTCTTGTTTTATTAAGGTGACACTAGAGGCAGAAGTCACGAACAAAGGAGCGCTGGCTCTATACGGTCGTCTTGGTTTTGTAAGGGCAAAGCGGCTCTTCCGCTATTACTTGAACGGAGTTGACGCTTTCCGTTTGAAGCTGTTGTTTCCAAGTCCAATGTCGCAGTCCTCCCTACCTATTGTGGCAGACACAGATGGCAGCCATTGGCATAATGACCACATCCCAATTGAAGAATGTTCTGAGGTTCGTTGAGGCACATGTATCGTTCAACAATTTCCAGCTTCATACATGTTTTAACCACCCCTGCCTGTACTGCATAGAGAGTAATTTGTGAGGTAATTGTTATATTCTATGTTAAATTGTAACTAACAACGTCTCTTGTTGAGATAATCAACATTTGTTTTTTAAGTTTTACTTTTAAAAGGTTTTCTTCCTTTTGGAGGCAGTTTGTGACTCGTGTTTTAACTTTCAGGAACCTCTCTCTTCCAACGAATGCTCTCATCAGCACAATAATACTTGTTATGAATGGATTGTTGTATAATGTGGGTTTTGAGCAAAATAAGGGACTTTTCCCGTGTTCTTTTTTTTTTTTTTTTTTTTAGAATACCGATATTCTTTACTTATCAGTCGTCATATTTAATATTAAATCTATTTAAAAGTCAAATCAGATTAAAAAAGTAACACAAATCTAACGGCTATAAATAGAGAATACTGATGTTTTTTTTCTTTTTTTAAAAAAAGAAACATCAGAAAAATTCCTGCAAAATAAACCAAAAATTACAGAACTGCACAAACAAAATTCTTGTTTATGAATTATGTTAATTTTGCATAATTTTATGACACGGACTTGTCATATGACACATGGCATTATGCAATTAAAGTGCTTTGTTTTACGAAATCTTTTCATACGAATTTAATGAGTAAACGCAAGCAATCATGTGACAAAGGGGAGAGAGTTGCTGGCCATAACCTTTTTATTTTCTTTTTCTTTGTTTTTTTTTTTTCTCTCTTGACCAAAATTCTTTCTTCCTCATATTAGAATCATGAGAAATGTGGGCAAAAAGAGACTTTACAAATAAAAAAGGAAAAATTACATAGTATGCCACTAAAAATATTTGGAACATCAAAAGTATTCTATTAGAACACTCTTTTAAAGACTCCGACCATTTTTATTGGGAAGAAAAAAATAATCCGGTAATATACTCTCAGGATATTTTTCTAGTGAATTGAGCTGAATATTAAATTTATGTCATTGGATGGTATAAATGTAAAGAGGATATGAATATTAAGTTTATGTCATTGGGTGGTATAAATGTAAAGAGGACATCTTTTGAGTAACATTTTTTGTATTTCTCGAGACAAAAAGGGGGAAAAAAAAAACCTAAAAATCTCAGTTCCCCACCAATTAATTTGAAAAATTCCTGCAAAATAAACCAAAAATTACAGAACTGCACAAACAAAATTCTTGTTTATGAATTATGTTAATTTTGCATAATTTTATGACACGGACCTGTCATATGACACATGGCATTATGCAATTAAAGTGCTTTGTTTTACGAAATCTTTTCATACGAATTTAATGAGTAAACGCAAGCAATCATGCGACAAAGGGGAGAGAGTTGCTGGCCATAACCTTTTTATTTTCTTTTTCTTTGTTTTTATTTTCTCTCTTTACCAAAATTCTTTCTTCCTCATATTAGAATCATGAGAAATGTGGGCAAAAAGAGACTTTACAAATAGAAAAGGAAAAATTACATAGTATGCCACTAAAAATATTTGGAACATCAAAAGTATTCTATTAGAATACTCTTTTAAAGACTCCGACCATTTTTATTGGGAAGAAAAAAATAATCCGGTAATATACTCTCAGGATATTTTTCTAGTGAATTGAGCTGAATATTAAATTTATGTCATTGGATGGTATAAATGTAAAGAGGATATGAATATTAAGGGTCTGTTTAGTTCGCTGATTCGAATTTTTAATTCGAGTTGAGATGTGATTTTATGTGAGAACTTTTTACTGTAGTAAAAAAGTTAGATGTGATTGTTTGTGAGAGTTTTTTACTGTAGCAAAACTCGAATTCTAAATTCGAATCAGCGAAATGAACGGGACTTAAGTTTATGTCATTGGGTGGTATAAATGTAAAGAGGACATCTTTTGAGTAACATTTTTTGTATTTCTCGAGACAAAAAGGGGGAAAAAAAAAAACCTAAAAAGTCTCAGTTTCCCACCTATTAATTTGCTTCTCTCTAACGACTTCAAGCTTATTCTCAATCCATTTTCATTCCTCTGCTCCAAGAGTCGACTTTCCCTTCTTAAACTTGGTCGTCCATTATTTGACCAAAGAAAAAAAAAATCTCCCCATTTTCCGGTAATTTTGATATCTCTATCTTTCTATTTTTAGATATCTTGTTTGGAAGTTCTCTACTTTGTTTTCATCAATATTATTTTTTAAAATTTTATCCACCTATGTTTTAAGGAAATACTTCCATTAATCTATTAGCATTTATACTCAATTTTTACAATATGGAATGGAAACAAATGTGAGAGTAGAAGATATCAAAATGATAAAGAAGTGGATACACAAGAATTTGAAGATATGTTAAATTTTAATATTAAAATAGCAAAAACTTAATATTGTTATTATATTTAACTTTGAAGC